GTGATGCTGGAGGCTCTGCCACTGGTATTCAGATACCAGCAGGGTCACCCATGGTAGACAGGTTTCAACTGAGCTTCCAGACTAAGACAGACTAGGAAGAAGGACACAGCAGTCTACTTCTGAAAAGAATTAGCCAGTGAAAATTGAATATTGAATATACCATTGACTACCAAAAGAATAAACAAATCTATCTTGGAAGAAGTACAGCCAGAATGCTCCTTAGAAGCAAGGATGGCGAGACTACGTCTTACATACTTCGGACGTGTTGTCAGAAGGGATCAGTCCCTGGAGAAGGACATCATGCTTGGTAAAGTACAGGGTCAGCAAAAAAAGAGGAAGACCCTCAACAAGATGAATTGACACAGTGGCTGCAACAATGGGCTCAAGCGTCACAGTCATTGTGAGCCTGGTGCATGATCGGGCAGTGTTTCGTTCTGTAGTACATAGCGTCGCTATGAGTCGGAACCGACTTGACAGCACCTAACAACAACAAGCTGAATTTTGTCTTTCATACACAGCTGACTGGAGATGATTCGGTTTTTAGGGCTTTCAAATGGAGGCTGCAGTTGAGGGAGAGAGATTTGCCTTGGCAATGAGGGGGTTATACTGCTAGCCCTCTGATGCCCCTACTGTAGGGGGCCAGAATCTTATTCACTTATTTGGGTGTGGGGTGTCTTCTTGCCTAGCTCATCTTCCTATTCCTCTGCATCATAGCCTTGCTGTTGCTCCGTCTGTTGGGGGTGGGCTTGGGGTAGCAGGTTACTGGGTCAGGTAGCCAGGGAACCTGCCTCATGAGGAGTTTCCATTTTTCACATGTTTTGCTAATAGTGGATCTGGGTGTGGAAGTTTAAAGATTAGGAGCTGATCAGTCTTTAATCGTGGTACAAATGGAGTGTTTAGGAAGGTGTGGAAGTCTAGTGGAGAGAAGATATGCTGGCTCAGTTCCCCAAATCTCTGGTGCAACAAAGGGGTAGCTGGCTCATCTCTGAGCTAGCAGTCTCCTCCCCATTTCATGGGTTATCTATATCTGGAAAAGCAGTACTCCATCAGGGACGTAAAAACAATTTTAGCTTTCTAAGAACATTTGTTGTTGTTGGCTGCCATTGAGTCAGTCCCTTACTCATTGTGACTTCATGTACAACATGATTGGACTGTTGTGATCCATAGGGTTTTCATTGACTGATTTTTCAGAAGTAGATCGCCAGGCCTTTCTTCCTAGTATGTCCTATTATGGAAGCCCCTCTGAAGCCTGTTTAGCATCATAGCAACACACACGCCTCCACTGACAGATGAGTAGGTGGTGGCTGCACTTAAGGTGCTTTGGCTGGGAATCGAAACTATCTTCCACATGGAAGACAAGAATTCTACTACTGGACCACTACTGCCGCCATTCTAAGAGCATAACTCCTCTTTATAACGTGTAAGGCTGTTAATCAACTTCTAGCCCTTTGATTTTTCAGTTACGTTTATAGATGTGCATTGCATACAAAGCAAGCACCTGTGTGCCTGTAAATGAGATAAAACGTAATCACGTTCTGGTAGATACTGGCAGCCTGATCATCCTCACTGCAAGTTTGGAATGAAAATTACAGTCGGGAGAAAAATATTGGGATTAGTTTTTTGGAGGGGTTAGGATGCTTACTATAAACTTTCATTATTAAATGTCAAGTTATTTTTATGACTCCTGAAAATTATAATGTTTTTATAAAATATTTAAGAAAGTTTCAGACCAAAACCTCTGAAATTATTTGAAATACGATTATATAGTCATTTGTAATTTATATATTCCATTTGTAATTTAGCTTTAGATCTATCGCTGAGTGACTTTCCTACTGAGTATAGTTGTACCTAACCTTATTAAGTATAACTGTGCTAAAAGAGGAATTCTCCTGGTTGGTGATTTTCCTTTTCCTGAGTTACTGAGGAACAAGAGACATGTCTTTGGTGTGCTTTTCTAGCTTGTCATGGTTCCAAGTGCTGTTAGTGTTTGAAGACCCCAGTATTTTTGCTTTCCTCGTGATAAAGCAGTAAAGGCGTTAGCTCCCATTGAAGTTCATGGAGACAGGCTGAATTGCTTCCCAGAATAAATGGGTTAATGAAATTTTTTATTTAGCTCTGTTTATGGTATGTGAGTTCTCTAAGTGTACTCCCCTTTCCCTACTAACTCTCATCCCTTCTTTATATAATAGATCAACGACTACCATCTATTCTACAAGATGAGTAACAGCCACCCTCTTCGCCCCTTTACTGCAGTGGGGGAAATTGATCATGT